GCCAACAGCTATTGCGTTGTGTCACGCTTTCCCTGGGCTGGGCTGTGCTGTCTCCGGAAACACCTGAACTCCCCACCCAGCTCAGCTCCAGCCCGCTCAGGGTCACAGCTCCCCTGGGTCCGTCCAGCGGCTGCTCCGAGAGTCAGCGCTGCAAAGCACAGCCCGGTCATGCCCTGGGAACAGGGCAAAACCCCGTGGARCAACCAACCTCCACCATGCCAGGAAGACGGCGCATCCATCGGTAGCAGGATCCCTCAAACCAACACCCGGGARTGCTCCTGTTGCTCTCATCTGCCTGGTAAAGCCCCAGCTCACACCCTGTCCTGGGAGAGCCTGTGCTGGCACCAGCCTGGSACCCCCGAGCTCCAAAAGCTGCCCACACACCCAGGACCTGCTGAAGAAGTCTCCCCCTGCTCGGAGCATCTTCCCTGCCCGTGCCCTAAGCCCCAGCGCGGTGCRGATGGCGGGAGGCCGAAGGAAAACCATCGTGCGCTGCCCGTGGACACAGCCCCTCCGGGCAGAGCACGTCAGCGAGGCAGCACACGGGCGCTTGTGCCGCTCCTGCCAGCTCCCTGCCCGGCTCCACGGCCGAGCCAAGCCCGAGCTCCCGGGGATCTGCACGCCCCGGCCTGGCAGCTCTCCCTGCCCCGAATTAGCCGGCACGGCGGTCCTCGGAAGCGGCTCCAACCTTCGGCTGTAGGGACACGCAGCCCCTCAGCGGGAACCGGTCCYGGGGACGCGTCCAGCTGGGACCGCCATCCTGCCATCCCCGCTTCGTGCTCGCCCTCCTCACGGCCGATATCCGTGCCCATGTGTTCACCTGGCGGCATTCCCAGCCGCGGGCTGCCTGACAGGGGCTCAGCTGCCAGCTACTGATGCATTCAGGGAGGGAGGCTGCAAATGCCGCTCCTTCAGCTTTCCTGCTCCTCCAGCACACAGAAATGAAAGGAGCATCTCTCACCTGATGATGACTGACTGCGGTGTCGTCTCAGCCTCTCCTCAAAGCAGGCACGAGACAAAGGCTGAAGAGGGAATGCACTCCTCATCAACTCAACAGATGCTGAGGAAAACTAAAGTAGTTGGAACTCACACAATCTCTTGCAAATCTAGGCTGGCAGGAGAGGAGATCAACTGCACGGGAGCAAAGAGTGGTAGGGGCACAAGCAAGGATCAACATTTATCACCGAGGCATGTGGGATTAGCTCGCACTCACCCTGGGATGTATAGGACACGGGTATTTTCCAGCTGGGTTTTGCTTGGGATGCTCCCATGAAACACTTATACATGAACACAAAGAGGAGGTGAGGGCAGCTCCTCTCAAAAGGGCAGGACAAGGTCGCTCAGTCCTGACACCATCAGGAGACACAAGTGGTTTCCAGAGCTGTAGGGTTTTTTTTTTTTTTTTT